CCTTTGCTATTTTTCCATTGCTACTGCCATTTGCTATTCTTGTTTCTCGGCTCTGTGTTTTTTTGCCGTCCCATCTCCTGGGCCGCAGTTGTTTTAGTTTATGCGCTCAATTTAGTAACTAGTTAGCCAGAAATGGCAGAAACCGTCCGTATTGCTGGTCACTCTGCTCGCACACCCCACACTCCACAAGTCCCCGAAAACCAAACAAGAAACTAATAAAAAGCCGAACCAGAAACCACAAGAGCTCATAGCTCAAATGCGCTGACAGCAGGCACGAGTTATGCGTACGTATCTCCACTCGAAGGAGAAGTAGCAGGGAGGGGTCCCGATATGGGTACGGAGTAGGTAGAAGTATGTGCAGCTTTTCCAACTAAATGCTATAAAAATTCTTGACTTAATAGCAAAACAAGACAGGGAACAAGCGTTCCTATGCGAGTGGCGGGAGTGTGTTTGCGTAGCCACAGTTGCGGTTGAAATAATAGAGAAACTCATGTAACTCCTAAAAGTTTAGGAAATTCATTTTAGTTTCTAGAGACAGTACATAGAAAATCTGTAAGTTCTTAAACTGTACAAGGTTCAAAGTGTAAAGTTAGAACTGAAGATACTGTAATTTTTTGAGAACCATCATTTGGGAGGTGTCTAAAAGTATGCAGTGAAAGAAGTCCATCGTTTTTCAGAATGATTTTATTGGTATTTTCGATTTTAAATATACTGTAGCGTACTTTTACACACTTTTAAAGGTAATTTTAGAGCTATAGAGACACCCGCGATTATAAAATAACTAACTTACAAGCCAGCTGGCACTATAGTTTCGACCTGGACTTCTGTTTTGACCGCAGCTGTTTGGCCTGTGTGTCTCTGATGGAGCAACCCGTGTAGGGCCACTAAAGAAAACTAACAAGTTACAAAAGCAAACCATCTGGTAGAGATGGCAAAGATGGGAATGGCAAGAGTCCAGTTCTGAAGAGGCGGCTGAGGTAAAGGAGGAAGTGGAAGTGGAGGTTCAGCAGCTGGAGAAGATGCTGAAAGCAGTTGGAGGAGCTGCTCGTGGATCCACATCCATATGTAGCAGCTTGGAAACAAGAAAAACTTGAAAGGCCAAGAAAAACATTTAGTAGATGATGAAAATCATGGCAACATCAACTTGAAGATGCCACACAACTGGCGGAACCGAAGGGTGGATGGATGGATGGAGAATAGAGGAGAATGGAGGAGAGATTCCTGTTGATAAGACTGTGATTGGAAGAGGAAGCTCTGCCAACTCTCGATGGGTCAATAACATTTTAAGGCACTTGTCTACTTAAATTTAAGCGTTAATTGTTTTGGGTAGGTAAGCACAGAGATAGAGTTCTAAGCACATGACTTAAACTTCGTTTAAATATATTTTATAGATAAACTTGAGTACTTTGGGTATGTTTATCAAGAGTGTGCTGACATTGTAGGAAACTTAAGGGTTTACTTGTGATATAATATATATTTTGCATTTTCCTAAACCTTTTAGACTTTTTGACTTGACATCGTAACTGAAATTGAAGCACTAATTGCTGGCCCTGGGGGATTTCAGTATCCCTGTAGCTCTTCTTAAATTTATGGTATCTTCTGGAAAATTTGTGTGTCTTTTTAAACTTAACATTCATTAGTTACGAATAGAAAGGCCCGAGGAGAAACCGAAAAGTGAAGGAGGAGCAAAAACTGAACTGGGGATAAGTCGTAGTCGCCTTATCATTTATCTTGGACCTCGGGCCAAATGTTTTCTGGCCTGCCAATTTCGCGTGTCTTGAATGGATGGTGGGTTAAATTGAGGAGGGGGATTTGGGGGGCCGGCAAGGACGAGTCGTTCGGTTGGGTTTGGTTTTGCGCTTGTTGGTCATATCAAATCGCTTTTGGCCCGGCTGCCTTGGCTTTTGTGGCCTGTGGCTCAGCGCGTGCCTTCCTCAATTTTCCCGCTTTTCCAACCCGCTTTTCCGACTGCCTTCCCACCCGCAGCAGCCCACACATCAAAATTGGATTTGGCCAAGTTAAGCAACGACCATTGAGGGAGTTAAAGCTCTGTCGATTATTTTTAATGGATCTGCTGCTCTCGCGCCACATTCTCTTTTTTCCCTCCTTGCCGTTTGGTAATTAAAATAAAATTAATATTGTCTGTTTGCTCTAATATTATTGCTCTTTTGATAGTTGTTCACGGAGTTCAAGCTGCCAAGATTTTTTGATTTTTAAATTTTCCATTAAACCGGGGAAAATATCCATTCCTGACTTAAGGTAAAAGGTACAAGAAAAGAAATCCGTTTAGGCACTCGAAATGAATGTAGGCCCAGTTAACCTTATAACTAATTGCTAAGAAGATCCTTTGATAAACTGTATTAGGCCCCGTCGTGTTGAATGTGAAACTCCAAATTAAATTTGGCTTATTTTTCTTTTCATTCGGGGATTAGTCATATAAATTGCTCTACCTAAACCCAGATGTAAACTAAATTTTTTAATTTTTTCCTTCTACGTGGCTTTTTGGCTAAGAAATGGTTTTCCTTTTATTCTCCATCTATTTTTGGAAGGGTCCTTTGTGTTTGTTAATAGTATTTTCCAAGTGAATGGTTGGGGCGGTTTATTTTTTGGCAGCACTTGGGGAACTGGGGGAAAAGGCAGAAACCTGGCAACAATTTGGCAATTGATTGGAAAAATATTTCTAACACGATTTTCAGGGGTCCCCTCATTTTTTCGCTCCTTTTTTTTTACTTCTTTTTGGATCCTGTAAACTAATTCAATTATTTGCGTACATAATTTAAGGGCCGTGTCCGAGAGCGTTGAGCAAGAAATTTATATGCAAAACACGCATAAAATTGTTTGCCCCCGTCTCTTTCATTCCCCAGTTGGCCGTCTCTTTCTCTCTTTCGCCGGTTGATTATTTATGAACACGAAGCGTTCAGGCTATGGAAATAATTGAAGGAACTTCACTCCACTCTACTCGACGACTGCTGTTTGGTCCGGGGTCCATTTTAAAGTAATCAAGGGAATGAAAGGCCTATTTTCAGGTCACTAGCCCCGGCTTTTCCCCGCCCGGAAAATGCCAGGAATGCAATGCCGAAACGACCTGGCCCAAATGTTGAAAACATGTTCGCAAAGTGACAATTAAGCCAATTTGAAGCCATTTAGCGGGCAAGAACGCAAACAAAAACTGCGGTAAACTCAGCCAGCAGACCAAACAGAACCGTACAGTTCGGGTTATATACCTATTCGCAAACCCTTTATATGGAGGGCGAAATGAAACAGAAGCAGGTCTTGATTTCTAACCAAACAATGCTTTAATGGTCGCCGAGTCGGCGAACAAAGCCAGACAATCAAACGTAATTACACGCACATAAACACGCAAAAGACGAAGATTCTGAGGTTGAGACTTGAGTTGGGGCTAGAAGGGCACTGGGAGAAAATGGGGGCGGGTTACAGGACAAATTTGAAACCTACAGTCCCAAGAATATGATTACAAAACAGTCTTAAATCGAAAAAATTTATTTGTTTCTCTCATAGTAGCATTTGATTAATGTGTGAGGTCGACAGGATAAGTTTGTAATATCTTATCTATCTAAGTCAAATTGATAGATAAGGGGATTAATAAATCTAAATACCATAAAATTAATCATTTAAATCATTAATTCGATATCATCTTGCATCGAAAATTACTGCTGATGAGCTTAAGGGCACTATAAAAATGAAACATTTGCTTTATAAAGTCGAATGATTTTCAACAAATTTCCGAAAAACCGCAAAGTAAGCTTCAACAAGTTGTAAGTACAACTTAATTTTCTTTTTCTCTGTGAGGCTGAGACACCTGAACCCGCTTTCCAGACCTTTCATAAAAGGTAGCCACGAGAGAATCACGCAATTTAGTATAATTTGCAGGAGGATTGCGAAAGTGGAGATGGATGGAAGGGGCTGGAATGGGTTGGGTTGGGGAAAGGGTCCGAGTCGAAGACCGTGCTCTAGTTTCTTGAGATTGCGGCAACTAAAGTTCTTCAGACTGCCACTGCCACTTTTCTTCATTTTTTTATTTTCCTGCTGGATGTCAATGGTGCGGAGTGAGGAGTGCGGATTGCGGGTTTATGGGCAAAGTCATTAGGCAGCTGGCGACACTTATCCAGGGGGCAGTTAATTACAAAGTGGTTGCGGTGGCTAAGACATAATTTCACGCCATTTGCGGTGCATAAGAGGCCGCTAATGTTGGACCATGACTTGCAGTCAGCTCCTCCAACTTGGACTCCTGGCCCGTGGATGAATTCATCTTCCTGGCCAGTCAAGTGCAGGGGCGGAGTTTTCCGAGGGGGCTAGGAAAATGGGAAAGGAAATTACCTGCAGAAGAATGGAATTTCTTTAGTTAAGAGCTTATAAGTATGTAGGGGGATACATCCAGAAAACTAATTTTAAAGTGCCATAAAACAAAGAAACGAGTTTTGGATTATTAGGATATCCTTTAGGTAATCAAAGTGGCATTATTAAACCTAATCCAAATGCTAAAATAAACATTTTTATTTTTGTAACTTAAAAGAGAATAAATAAGCTTAGGTATTTATTAACTTCTATTTAAAAAATTCTCTGACGCAGTTATTAATATCCTTTCCCAAAATATCCATCAAATAAACCCTGCCAACAAGGTTGCTACCTCTTTTAACATCAAATTATCTCAATAAAGCCCTTCCTACACTTTTCTTTCAACTCTGCTAATGAGTCTCTGGCAGTTATTTTGGCATTGACCGACCTTCAGACACTTGATTAGTTTAATTAATAATTGACAAATTTCGTGTCTAATCAGCAGCCTAATCATGACCAGTAATACCACTCCCTCACTTTCGTTATCCCCTGATTAATTCAATTAGAAGTTTGGGATTATGCTGCCTGATTATGCCGAAAATGCTGCGTGTTTATTAATTTTCATCCAGCGGTTTGCTTTGATTTGGATGCTGCCTGTGTGACTTGACTAATTTTCGCTGCTTTTCTGCTTTCGCTTTTTCCAGATTACCCCCGAGTGGAGGTTGGACCCGAGAATCCTTTGCGGGTGGAACGTGACCGGACTGCCAAACTGGAGTGTAACGTTGATGCCAAGCCCAAGGTCCCCAACGTCCGTTGGAACCGCAATGGTCGGTTCATCAGCTCCTCATTAGTTCACACGATCCATCGGGTGAGTGTCCAAGACGCCGGCAAGTACACCTGCATTGCGGACAATGGTCTTGGCAAGACTGGAGAGCAGGAACTCATCCTGGACATCCTGTACCCGCCCATGGTGGTGATTGAGTCGAAGACCAGGGAGGCTGAGGAGGGCGATACAGTGACCATTCGATGCAATGTCACAGCGAATCCAGCTCCGGTGACCATCGAGTGGCTCAAGGAGAATACCCCTGATTTCCGGTACAATGGCGATGTCCTGACTCTGAACTCCGTGAGAGCCGATCATGCCGGGAACTATATCTGCCGAGCTGTAAATATAATGCAGAGTCAGGGAATGGAGCGCAGTGAGCGAGTGGGCAACTCCACGGTGGCCCTGCTAGTTCGCCACCGACCAGGACAGGCCTACATCACACCCAACAAGCCAGTGGTCCATGTGGGCAATGGTGTCACCCTGACCTGCTCGGCCAATCCCCCAGGATGGCCGGTTCCTCAGTACAGATGGTTCAGGGACATGGATGGAGAGTTCTCCAGCACGCAGAAGATTCTCGCCCAGGGTCCCCAGTACTCCATACCCAAGGCCCACCTGGGCAACGAGGGCAAGTACCATTGTCATGCTGTCAACGAGCTGGGAATCGGAATGATGGCCACCATTTCCCTGGAGATCCATCAGCCACCGCAGTTCCTGGCCAAACTGCAGCAGCACATGACCAGAAGAGTAGCCGACACGGATTACACGGTGACCTGCAGTGCCAAGGGTAAACCGGCACCCAGTGTGAAGTGGCTCAAGGATGCCGTGGAAATCCTGCCCGAGGAGAACCTCTACGAGGTGCAGACCAACCCCGACCAGGGTCTCAACGGCATGGTCACTGTGCAGAGTCAGCTCAAGTTCCGCGGAAAGGCCAGGCCAAATGGAAATGCTCTGGTTCCTGGAGATCGTGGTCTGTACACCTGTTTGTACCAGAACGAGGTCAACTCGGCCAACTCTTCCATGCAGCTGAGGATCGAGCATGAGCCCATAGTCCTGCACCAGTACAACAAGGTGGCCTTTGACATCAGGGAGACGGCCGAGGTGGTCTGCAAAGTTCAGGCCTATCCCAAGCCCGAGTTCCAATGGCAGTTTGGCAACAATCCCTCGCCCCTGACCATGTCGTCGGACGGGCACTACGAGATTAGCACCACCACAGACAACAATGACATCTACACCTCCGTGCTGAAGATCAACTCGCTGACCCACTCGGACTATGGAGAGTACACCTGCCGGGTGGCCAACACCTTGGACACCATTCGAGCTCCGATCAGGCTGCAGCAGAAGGGTCCGCCGGAGAAGCCCACCAACCTGAGGGCCACCGAGGTGGGTCACAACTACGTGTCCCTGAGCTGGGATCCCGGATTCGATGGTGGTCTGAGCAAGACCAAGTTCTTTGTGAGCTATCGCCCAGTGGCCATGCCGAGGGAGGAGCAACTAATACCGTATTGCGCCACTGTGGGCAGTTCAAATTCGGAGTGGACGGAGGTGGATTGCCAGCGGGACATTCCCTGCAAGGTCACATCCCTGGAGCAGCACAAGAGCTATGCCTTTAAGGTCAAGGCCCTGAACCCGAAGAGCGATTCCCCCTACTCGAGTGAGATTATGGTGACGACAAAGGTCAGCCGGATTCCACCACCGCTGCAGGTGACCTATGAGCCGAGCACCCGAACTCTGGGCATCGATGTCGGAGCCACCTGTTTGTCCCTGGTGGCCGTTGTGGAGTCGATGGTGAATGCCGACAGTGCTAACGCCGCCTGGGAGGTGGTGGCCACCATGGATAACCTGCAGCTGTCCGGAAATGGACCCACGCACAAGGAGAAGGTCATCGACAGGATCATCGGAGCGCGGCGAGTCGGCGGAGGACGTGCCCTGGGCCACACCATCAGCGAGGACGAGGATGACAATGGCCTGAACTCGCTGGCCCTCGAGGATGACAACAGTCCCACTGTGCGGGTCAAGCTGTGCCTGAGGACCAATCCAGAGCACTGCGGCGATTACACGGATGCGGAAAGTGAGTAGAAGTGTTGTAAGAAATTATTTCATTACAGAGAAATGTATCAGTTCAAGAGATTGCCAGTTAAAGTATAGAGTTACGTTAGTCAGATTTTTAAAAATTAAAAAATCCACAAGAGAAGTGCTTGGTGTGTATCAAGGAAAGTGGCAAAGATGGCCTGGCTGGAAAATCCTCCACCGTTGCCGATGATTTCCATTATATGCAAAGCCATTACGAGCAATTGCACCACTTGAATGACCGACTGGCTGCCGGCGGACAATCAATCACTCATTCCGTCAGTGGTCGTGGTCGTGGTCTCCTGCCTCCTTGCCACCCATCTTTCAAGCAGCGAACCATCTATCCAGCCATCCAGCAACCAACCATCCATCCAGCCATTCATCCATCCACTTCAACTCCTTGCGATGCATTTTTCATGGCTTCATTTCATCTCGCTCTCGACACAGAGCCAAAAATGGGGTGAAATTAAGAAATCGGTTTGAAAACTTATTACCTTTATTAATAAGATTTTAACAAAAATTGCAAAGAAAAGTATTTTATTCGATGTAAAATCAATGTTTCATTTAAAACGAAACATTTGGGTATATAACATTTAGATACTGGTAAGAATAGGATGTTTTCTATATCGATTGATATATCAATCTTATTTCGATTACTTTCGATATGTAAAATATCGATATTATATTTATATTTATATTTTTGAATTTTGATAGGTATCCCATTTTGAACCTTTCTTTTCGAAATACATCACTAATATTCCTCTCTTTTTTTCCGATAGTTGGCCGACCGTATATAGCCGAGGCTAGTGCCCTGGCCACGCCCACTTTGATTGCTATAATCGTGTCCTGCGTGGTCTTCGCCCTCTTTGCCGGCCTTATCCTGATGTTCTGTCGCTGCAAGCGGAATCAATCCAAGAAGAGCGCCGCCGCCAAGGATTACGAGATGGACTCGGTGCGACCGTCGATTGTGACCGCCCAGCAGAACCAGGCCCCGCCCCCCTACTACCCCGCCTCCGGACTGGACAACAAGGCCCTGGAGCACTCGATGGATCTCGCCCTGAGCATGGAGGATCAGAAGACCGCCCTGTACGCCACCCAAAATGGTTACAGCTATCACCCCGGCAGTGGGGTGGTGGGCGTTGGCCTTGGGGGCGGCGTGGTGGGCGTGGGCGTGGGCGGAAGCGTGGTCAGCGGCATGGGCGGCGGTATGGTGGGCGTGGGCGGAATCGGAGGCAGTGGCGTCGGAGTCAATGGAATGCCTGGTCTCAATGCACACACGATGCCCGGAAATGAATGTGAGTACTTGAAAAATATCTACTTATTGCCTTTTAAAAAGGAAAAATATATGTACACCACAAAAATCCGAGATTTTCATTTTAAAATTAAAAAAAAAAAACTTTTAAATTATTAAAGAAGATAGTGCCCAAACGTACTCTTTGTTTAACAAGAAAAAACATTTTACAACTACTTGCTGTTAAACTGTCTTACCTTTTAGAAAACATATAATATAGATTTATAGGTATTTAAAACTTCTTCAACCGTTTTATACCTTTTATTTTGTAACTTTAAGTGCTAACCACGTTAGGGTGCCAAACAAAAAACTAAAAGATCGAAAACCAAAGTGAGAAATACTTCCGGTTGGGACATGTCCTTACGGTCCCTTTTTTATCCAGAGGCTTCTGGGTTCCCCAGCTCCGTTTGGGTTGCGGTGATTTTTCATTGTCCACACAAATACGTACACTTCCGCACAAAATGAAATCCGTGCTGACGTTTAAAAGGAAAATACGTGGGGTAGTATCCAAAGTGGGGTTTCCCGGGGTGTATTTTTTTCGAAATTATGCTGCCCCTGAAAATGGGAAAAGTGCAAAATGGAGTTGAGTGCAAATCGATGGCGGCAAGAGCATTCATCAAGCGCGGTTTGTGTTCTGTCAGACCCCCTTCTACGCACCTGGAAAACAGAGGGGGCAAAAGCACTTTCCACTTCCGTTGTAAATTTGTTGAAACAGCAATTTTTTCTAAACGCTGGCTGTTTTTTTTGTCCGTTACTGTTTGTTGCTGGTCTGTAGCATTTTGTAATATACTTTCCATTTTGCAATTGTTGCTGTCGTCCATTCATCGTGACGTCCCTTCCGCCCACTTGTCCACCCGTTCTCAAGTGGGGGAATCCCCCTGTTTCTTTTCACCATGACTCTTGTTCCCCGTTTGAATGCGTAAAACTGGACTGAAGCTTTCTCTGCACAAAGAAAAAAGTCCTCCCCAGTTTTCCCCTCAGCGGTTTTACACAATTCATTATTAATTGTGCTGGTTTTCGTTTATTTTCTTTTTTGCCCACTCACCCACATACATTTTTTAACCTTTCACATGGTGGGGAAAAAAAGCATTTGGCACTTGCTAATGATGTGCAAATTAAAAATTCCTTTTTTTGCTTACCACAAAGATAGGGAAAATATCTGCTATAACTGCTCGTTGTAAAATTGAATCTACTTTTACATTTTTTAAGCCTCTAAATAGCAGCAATTTGCTTTGGCAATTTCGTGTTTCAATTGTTTTCGAAGGCCAATTAAAATTTTAAGGCGCTTAGTCTCGAAAGGACTCGCTGAGGGGGCATTAAGGGGTTAAGGGGGCTGCCACTTAATTGCATTTAAAAACGATTGTGGGAGGTGGAAAGCGGAGAAGGAGTTGCAGTAACAGCTAATTTGCCAAGTGAAAGTGGCATGAATAATAAAGGGTTGCAAGTGCACGAAACGCAAGAGCACCAAAGAGTGTTGGTAAACTCCTTTCTCCCCATTTCCCTGCCATTGTGAGCGCTAATTGCCGCTTAAGGAGCAGAGCAGCCACAAGCGAGGAGCCGAAACACACGGCTCCAGACCAAAATGTCCTTTGGCAGATGCAGATGCTTCCCGGAAACCCGAACCCCCGACTTCATTTGCACTGCACGACAAAAAATATCGATTAATTTTGATGAGGAAATTACAGAATTATATTAATAATAATTATATCTGATAAAATTGATAAAATAAAAGTTCATTTATGGAGGTGCCTGAAAGTATGCAACAATATTTTTTTTAACGAAAGAACAGCTTTCTTTATTTCACAGTATACTTTTGCACACCTCTTTAAGTGTTTTTAAAACCCCAATAATTTTTATGACACCCCCAAAATAAGAACTCCCATTATTTTCTCTGTGTAAAACCCCCTTCATTTTGCACTTTGCCTACGACTGAGAGCTGTGGCGGTTCATTGTTGTAGTCGCCTGCACTTTTCGGGCTCGTTAACGCCGCCCAATTCGGGTCCTTTGGCTTTCCACCCCCAGAGCTTTGCCCCTTTCGAAACCCTTCTCCTTTCTCTTCATGGCCACAATTGCTTTCGACCTAGGCCAAAAACCTAATGAACTTTGCATGTAAACCGGCGACGACAATAAAAACAATCAAGCGAGGAGCGAAAGTGCAGCCACTAAAACGAGTGTTGAAAGGAGTCATTTGGAGTTGGGGAAAGCTCTGTATCTTAAAGGTAATATGGGTTTTTGGAAGAGGAATATCCAAAATATGAAGTAGAATATTTGCTTTAAGGACCAAGTTAACCATTATATGAATTAAAATCCTAGAATATTTATCTTCAAAAATATTAAATAAATAAACAAGAACTAAGCAGCTCTTTATTAGTCCCTGGCACCTCTTAAAAGTTTCTTGCACTCTCCAGATGAAGGATCGCAAGTCTGGGATATACGTATAAAAATATATATGGAATACGCCTACGGCTAGACGACGGCTAGGACATGTTTCACCAAATAAATGCAGAGCAAAACAAGCAGCTGGAATTTGGAAAACCAAATAAATGCAAACAAATGTCGTCGCACACACAGAAGAGGCAACCAACCGTAGAAAATAGAGAGGAGGAAAAATAAAAATGAAAATGAAAATATAAAAAAATAGCTGGGAAAAACAAAAAAAAAAAGAGAACAGAAGGAATCTCGCGCTCGGCAAATTTATGCGCTAAATAAATAAAGCCATGAACCCGCGCGCCTGGCCAACAAATGTCTGCCATGTTTTAGTTGGGTTTGGTTTAGTTCGGTTTGGTTTGGCCGGGATTCCTCTGGTCGGGGGTGTTTTCAATGCGCTTCTGGGGGTCGGGGTTCCGTGTTCCATTCTGTTCAGCTCAGTTCTCTTGTGCTCTGTGTTCTGGGCTTAAAATGCAGCCCGGCAAACGTAGCCCAAAAGGGGGTAGCTTTCGCACAAACAAAATATTCCAAATCTTTTTAAAAAAGGCTTAAACAAATCCTTAAAACCTGTTCTATAAAAGTTTCTAGTTTGAAAATATAGGTTCAAATTAACATTAAAAAAACATATCAAATCAAAAGCTTTTCCCAAAATTTCCGTATATATAATATTTTTAAGACAAAGTAAAAATCTTTCTTCGAGTGCACGCCAGCTGCTGTGTTTTAGGCCAGCATTTCGCTGGTCTTTGTTCCCCTAATCTCTCTCTTTTTTTTTTGCAGTGATTGCCTCTCGAACATGTTTGTCTTGTGTCAGTTGTAAGGGAAGGGTTAACACGATGGGTTCAAGGGGGTCAGCAGCAGCCTTGGCCCAGCAGACTGGGTGACCAACCGACCAACTAGCCAACTGACCCAACCCAAACCAAAACAAACCAAAATCCCACCGCACCACAAACAACATTCCGAAGACACCATCTATATCTATGAGTTCCAATTTGTTGGCTTTATTTTTTTACAGCTGGCCCAGCTAATTGGCTTAAATCTGAACACTGCTGGGGAATTGCAGGGAAAGCGGGCTTTAATTTATTACCATAAAATCATCAATACCCTTGACCTGTCTCCGCTTTTCACTCAACTCAACTCACTTTCTTGGGCTGAAATTCTCCGTCATGCCCAGCTGATCAGGAACAACAAGGCGAATTCCGGGGAGAGTTTCGCTAACAAAGTTATTTTACTTTCCCTAGCACGCCACGCCCCCACAGGCTTTTCATTCATTATCCTGGCGAAAAAATAAAATGAAATAAAATCTGAGAAACTGACGCTGTTGCAGCGCACCAAAGTTTTTGGCCAACTTGGGCGCACAAAAGAAGCTGGCAGGAAAAGCGGATGGAGCGGCGGAAAAGTGCAACACGGCAAGTGCAGGAACTCGGCACTAGTGCGCCCCACTTTTCCCACTTTCCCCGGCTTTCCCAGCCCTTTTCCCTTAAAGTACAGCCCTTGTTGTGCCAGCTACATTTAAGCGCATTTAGGGCAAATGCCAAGCAGCCTCCGACTCTCAACTCGCAATCTCGACTCCCGGAGTCTCCGAGTCGCGTCGCTAATTAAAAGTGCAACAAGGAAAAGGTCACCAGGGGTTGGGGAAATCGTAGGGAAAATCGCAGCTGCATGGTTAGAAAATGGGGGTAAAACTTGCCAAAATATGTTCTGCAAATTTGCATTCATTGTGTTGCAAAGAAGTTGCAGAACAACATCTTTACAAAAGGTAGAGGAAACTTAGATACAGAAACTTTAAAATGAGCAATCATTAGTTACGTTTTTGCATAGATTTTATAAGTAAAACATATCATTTCAAATCCTTAAATATTTATTCCTCATTTGTTTGAAAAAATATATAACAACTCTACAATTTTAAAACATTTTAAAAATTGCTTTAATGGTGTAGAGCTTATACTTAAAAATTCCGTAGTATTTATAAAGAATATATAGTTCTAGTCCGAAAACACTTAAAACAATTAATTATTTCACAATGCCTTATTAAATCATTACAATGTTTTATCACCCAAAATCCTACATAGAAAAAAAAAAATATACAATAACTGGTTAAGTTTCTTCCCTATTTGCCCCTGCTATTTCTTCTTTTTCGTATGACTATTTCTCTCCGTGTAGTGTGAGAAACCTAGATAAGGAGTGAACTGGTGCTATTAACACCCCAAAAACAGAGAACTGGGCTTGAGTTCAGTGCGGATGAGTTGAGTTGAGTCGGGATGGAATGGAATGGGTTAAGTTGGCAGCAAAAGTGAGGAGGCAGCAGCCGGAGGCGCAAGTTTGCCCCCATCCTTAACCCCTGGGTGCCACGGGGACCACGGCCTGCTATTTAGTTAACCGTTAATGGCATTTGAAACTGTTTTTATTGTGCGTCTGCCGCTGCTGCTGCTGCACAAAAATGTTGCATAATTGTAAGCGCTTCCGGTTGAAAAGTTTGTCGAGTGAATTAGAGGGAAAACTTTCCACCAGCCCAAGCACTTTTACATGAAAAGATTTTCCAAGTGCGGACTGGGTTTAATAATAAGCTGTTGTGCCGGGGCGGGGGAGGGGGTTTCGGTGGAAAACTGGGGAAAATGGAGGCGTGACTCGGCCAGAACTATGCCGCAACTGTTGTTGTTATTTGCTCAAATCAATGCACAAAACTTTGACAAACTTTAATTGCTAAAAAAATAAAAAATACAAGGAGTAGGCAAAATGTTTCCCTCCAGACAATGGAAATGCATTAAAATTTTCATCAGCGAGGGAGGGAAATTTTGTTATTTCGGTCAAATATTTTGGCAAACTTGAGCAATCAAAAGTTGCCGCCGACAAAAGATTTGATGCTTATCAAATTGAAAAGTTCCAGTCTTTTTTTTGGTAGTCCCCCCGCATTGCAATTGGAAAATGTATATAAGCAGAATGTTGCGGCATAAAATTACTCAAGCAAATATGCAAATTGGCTGAGCAAATAAAGAGCCAACAGAAAAGTTGGCCGCATGAAATGTAAATGAAGTTAATATTATTACTGTTTTAGTTTTATGGCTAATCATAAAAATTATCACGCCCACCGAAAACGAGGCATAAAATCGGGGCCCTAAACTCGAGTCGCAGCTCCAGCTGAGGACACGCAAAAATGGCGAAAACTTGCCATAAAAGTGGTCGCCAAAAAAAGCCACGCAAGGCGGGGTATATGAGCCTATTTCCCGAACCACTACGTTTTTTAGACCCCAGAAAATATGGCACTCAATCTGGGAAATCCCCCAAAATCGAACATTTTTATTGCATACTGCTTGGGCGTGCGAAAGATAGTGCACTTGAAAAAGTAACCATATTTATGTTATTATTTTGTCTGGATAATATTATTTTGTTTATTAAATAACAATCATTTTATTCAAGCACACCCCATAATTAACTGTTAATGTAAGATAAACATTAGGAAATCCTCTTTGTGGGTACAAGAAACCCAGGGACTGTGACAAATCCCCTAAAATGCCAAAGATTATATACTTTTGGGAACACAATTTTTCCGCAGCCAACTCAAAATTCAAAAAGTTTTCGTTTGTCGGCAAGCGTGCGTTTAATATTTATGAGTGATTTATCACGATATAAAAATAATAATAAATGCGTCCAGGCGGCAAGCACGCACCAGCCCATGGAAAAGCATAGGAAACAATGAATGGAAACGGAAAACTCGGTTGGCAGGTTGGAGCAGGAGTGGGAAAATGGAAGCACCAGCTGCTCCTCGTCGAAGGACAAAGGCTCCTACACCCGTTTACCCCATAAAAATTTTACAAAATGGGCTGAGGGCCGAAGAAAGGTGCTCTTCGAGGGTTTATGACGTTGCGATGGATTTTAAGTGGCGCACGCGGCGTATGCGCAATGTGATAAACTATTAATTACGCCTTGTCTATGACTCGAAGTTAATAAATTTTATGCCCCTGTCATTTTTATGTGTTAATCAATAAAAATCCAGCCCAAAGTTGCCGCCAAAAGATAGAACTTCAACTTTGTTTCGGGACCAAACTTTTGCTTAATTTTAATTAAAATTTGTTTTACTGCCAACGAGCGAAAGTTTTACTTGGCCAAGGGCCAAATAGTCAATGCCTTACATGTGAACGTTGGAGGTTAAAATAATAGGAACTGTGTGAAGCAAAATATAATAAATTAAATAACAAATCAACATTTATAAACATTACTGCACTTTTCAACTCTTTTTGAATAACTCATCAATATATTATTCTTTTTTGTACCCATGTTTTTCCTATGAAAAGAATGCAACTCTCTCGTGTACTTGTTCAAAAAGCATTCATTCATCATTTACATATTCGTTGTGTTTTTCCAGGGGTCAACATGGGCTACATGGAGAACAACTATTCGAACTCGAACAACGGCGGCAGTGTCAACTCGCAGGACTCCTTGTGGCAGGTGAAGATGTCGGCGGCGGCGGTGGGCAACCAGCAGGGATTGGTCCAGGCCCCCCTCAACCAGTACGTGGAGCAGCAGCCCGCCTATGGCTACGACCCCTTGACCCACGGGGGCTACGGGGCGGTGGACGACTACGCCCCCTACCCGCACCTCACGGCCACGCCCAGCCAGGTGGGCGACGAGTACCACAACTTGCGCAACAGCCAGAATCCGTCCCGGCAGGACTACTGCAGCGATCCCTACGCATCCGTGCAGAAGCCCAAGAAGCGAGTCGATCAGCATTTAGGTAAGCAATCGACGGAGTTTCCCTAAGATATTTAATTAAGAAATGTGGTATATTGAGATCTAAAGAAACCAGATTTCATTGTCAGCTGGGAGATATTAAATAGATTCTGATTAGAGGTGTTCTCGATGCGAAACATAAGAACCAGCTTCAGGGTTTTGAGATACATGTAGTACATATAATCACCAGCAACAGGATGATAGGATAGGAAAATGTATTAATATATTCTCTAGGATAGGTTTTAGTTTAGTATATTACATACCATAATAACAAACAGTCTAAATGTGAAGAAATCGAATAAGGAGCATATATGAAGAAGGACTTGAGGGAATATTGTCTCCAGTCTGATCATAAATGTGTATAAGGACATAATAAGTATATTTTTGGGGGAAAATACTCAGAATACTTTCCAAAATAAAAGCCATCGAAGCATGGATAACGAAACTTATTAGTAGAAAATTCACCCATTCATCAGAAACTGTGTGTGAACAAGAAGTGAATAAGCGCCGATGAAATAATGAGAGAGAAAGGCAAACTGCAGAAAATTACACATAGATTGCGAAGAGATTTGTTGGAGGAACTTTTCCCTTATTTTGATTGATAAACTTTTGCCGAGCCGAGGACCCAAAGTTTCTATTTTCTGACACATTAAGCTGCCTAGAGTTCCCAGGAAAAGAGTGAGGTCCTGGCTTTGGATTCCATGTCCCATGGCCTATGTCAAAAAGTGTGTGGGCCGAGGAAAGTGAGAGGGCCAACAACATTTCTGTTGGCATTTCAGGCTTTGGCTCGCTTTCAGTTATGACAAGTTAAGCACTGGGAATCTGGAAATGTTTTGCGCCCTTTTCCATGCTAATTATGTGAGGTCAGGGGTGAGGGCGGGGCACAAGTTGCAAATAAATATTATTGGGCAATATGCTGTTCGAACATTCGGACTCGGCTTAAAGTCTTTGTTGAGTTTGCTTTAAGTTCACCCGAGCACAAAACACAACCGCAGCAAAAGCAGCAAAATCAACAAGGACCAAGTGGGTGGCAGGATGTCGAGGATGAGGGGACGTTGGGATGTGGGCTGCCCTTTGGCATCCACAGCTTGTTTTTTGGGATTGTCTATGGGTGTTCTGGGTGTCCTGTGTGTGCTTGTGTGTGAGCTCGAATTTTTGCGGAATCCATTTCTGCCGCATGGCCCATGTTGTTATGCGTGTTTTATTATTTGTATACTCTACAAGAAAGGGGCACTAACGTGGCTTTAGTTTTCAGTCCTTAGATATAGATATTAATCATTAAATATTTTAAAGGAAATCATCTTTTATATTTCTTGAAAGTATTGTTGTTAAGATTTAAAGTATAAAATGGGGGAAGAAATGATTAAAGAAAATATCATTCAGAAGAAACGTAAAGCTTTCTTAAATAGAAAACTAAAAATTAGCTACTGAGCTAAGCTCTGTTACAGGTATTTTTTGTTGCTCAATTTGCAACATAAAAACCCAGATCATTTTTTAAATTTGAGAGTAACCCTGATGTTCTAGGGTATTCAAATGTTTTGTAATTCTGCATACTTTCCATACTGTTTGTTGTTGTTATTGTGATGCCAATAGCACCGCAAGTGTTTTAAAATATTAAATAATAAAAAGCGAACCGAACCGAACTGAACCGAATGAAAGCCCAAGATGAACAGCGGCCACAGTGAGAGTTTTGAGTTGGATCAGCAGCAGTGGTGACTGTAAAGCGCCAGCGGGTCGTATGCGTAATATCCCCCTCTTTTTTGTGTGTATGTGTGTTGGCCACAACTATGAGCGGTGTGTGTGTGTTATCTTTACGCTTTATGAGCACCAAAACCGGAAAAAAATACATTTTTGGTTGCTACTTCTTGTTGTTCTTGGGCGGTTTTTATTGCCCTGGACTCGCAGGACGTTATTATTGTTGTTGTTTCTGTGTTGAATATTGTTAGCCATTTTTTTTGTACTTTCGCCTCAGTTCTTCTTTCACTCACTCCTTGCATATGAAATGCAAAAAAGCTCTGGAGGCTCCCTTTCTATGTCCTTATTCATTTTTTTGTTTACTGAGGTTAAACGCAAGGCACAAACATGAAAAAATGCCAGGGAAACTGTAGTTCTTTTTGGTTAAAAAAATGCATGGAAACAATAAAGAAAATATTTGTAAAAAAAAGTGAAAGAAAGGAACTATTCGTGCATGTCAATAAAATGCAACAGCGCCATCGAAGAAAGAGCAAACTGCAAGATACAAGATACAAGCTACCAGATGGAAGATAGATCCCCCATGAGAGCCATCAAAAGCAAGGCAAACTTTTAGGGGGTAGTGCCACTGAAGAGGGTTAATGTAGAATGTAGTGGGTTAAGAGAGGGCCAACGAGGGGTTAGGAGTGGAACAGCCAGCAGATTGACAGTGCTACAATATGCAAATACATCTTCATTACATTGATGTCAGCTTATGCACAGCTTGCGAATGCAACTGAATGTCGTCTCTGCGTGTGTGTGTGTGTGAGTCTGAGAGTGTGTGTGCCCGCCCGTCTGTGTTTGTATGTTTAAAAGCTTTTACACTTGCCAAACTCACATTTGAGACCCTCATCGCTCATTCTGCGGCCCGCTTTCCCCACCTCCTGTGGCTTCCGAGACCCCGGCTGACTTTTGTGCTATGCAAAATGCATCCAAATTGCACTGGAAAAAAATTCACACGTAAATAAATCATCAATCAAATAACTTGGGGTTCCATTGAAATCCTTAGAGATTATATAGTGTAATGTCTAAGTATGCTGTAGAAAATATGTTTCTTGGGAGAAATCATTAATCCCTTAAAGTATGCTGTAAATAATGTAACATCACCTACTGCAGTACAAAACTCGGTGTACTCTTAGAGCCACCTTAAAGTTGCCTGTGAGTCTCGGTAATATTTCACCAATTTCGTATTTCATACATTTTCCTGTGGATTTAGGTGGCTTCCCAATTCATAAAATAATGTTTCAAATATTGCTGAAGTATAGTTTAATACTTTGAGGTATTTTTCATCAAAATCGTGTCACATTATTTAAAAATAAATGTGCAACATTTTCTGCAGTGTACTCGAGTGATCAGGGGATGCAAGTTGAGGGGAGAGGGGTGCTGGCCATGGCCGGAAGGAAGGAAGTCTGCGGCAGGCGCCAAAAAGCTGCGTAAGCAAATTTTTTGCTCATCTGTTAACATGCAAAGAAGGCTGCACAGAATAAAGATTGGGGCATATATGGTATATATACATACATGAAGGGGAAAACTGAAAGGGAAATTTTCGGGGGACCGAACGACCGACCGACAGACCGACACACCGACTAACTGATTGATTATGCAGACTTTTGTGTCAGTTGGTTGAGCGCCTTTGTTTGGTCTTTTGTCAAACAGACTCCTGGCCCACAGGAAATGGCTTTAATTCATCATTAGGCCAAGCGGAGTAGAGAAAGCCAACCGCAAGATGAAGAACAAGTCGGAGATTATCCCGGGCTTTTAGCAGATTATTCAAATTGCTACTTCATAAATATACATAAACGATTTTGATTAATATCGGAGCATATGCCTCACATATTTATGTCGGGGTAATGTAATTGGGGGAAGAGTATGAGAAAGGGAATTTAAAGGGTAGGTACTACAGTTATCTACTTAGAAATTGCACATGGGTTGTTGGAGCCTACGATAAACTTATAATAATCGATATGTAATCTCCCCAGTTCTTGTCTTTGCCAACTATCTGATGATTTAAGTCCAAACAAATCTGTTTTCGCCATTAGAAGCCTTCTTTCGCCCTTCTTATCGCCTCGCTGAAAGGCTCATAATGCAGTTTTCTTTTGGGCTTGGGCAATAAATGCCAGGAAAACTTATTCAAACTGCCGTAAGAATCTTGTTCTGGCCTCGCTTTCGCTTTCTCCTTTCTCCTGGATGGCTTCCAAAATAGTTGCAAAGATGTGGGGCACCGGGAATCACATAAATCACATGAGTCAGGATTTTCGCAACAAGAAAAAAGGACGAGCAGGAAAAACAGCAGGAGGCGAAACACACTCCACAGCACTAAACACACACTAAGTGGATTTGTGAGAAGAAAGGCGGGGGACAGGGGCCAGAAGAATCGGAGGAAGACTGGAGAAAGCCACTGGCCAAAAAGGCAACAAATGATAAGCGTTTTAACCCCTTGTTCTATGCATGAGAAAGTGTTGCCAGCCGGCCAGCAAGTTTGTTTGTTTGGTTTGTGTGTGCTGCTGGGATAAACTCATCTGCAATTTGTTTACTTTCGACGTTTCCGAAAATTTACTAAAAAAGAATGGGTTATTACGAGCTTAGCATAGCAAAAAACTTGGCCAAAGAGGCTAACACACACATAGAACATTTGCATGCAAAGACAGCTGGGCAAAAAGGCAACAGTGCGTATGCTTAACGCAGAAACGATTAAGTTGTTGAGAGACAGAGGAGACTGAATGGAAATTGAAAAACAGCAGGAAAAACCACTAGCCGAAGGGGCGTTTCGCTAACGTGGGCGTGGCACAATAAAGTTATGCGCATAATATCCACAGCTCACGTATTGGCCATAAAATGCGGGCAGGAGAGCCAAATCTTCCGGCAGTTGAAAATCTTCGAAGAGAAATAGTTCAGAAAGACGGAAAAAAAAGGATTCGCTTTCCCAGCTTTCCCTGGCTAGCTGGCTTTCCCTTTTTTTGCCACCCCATCGCTTTTGGGTCAAGTTTATGCAGATGCCTGAGTGAAGTGGAAAAAAATCCAAGGCGATGGGGCGATGGCGACAAACGCGCTTAGGAATTTTCACACGACCCAGAAGCCAGGAAAAAGCATGGGGGGGGGGGGTTGTGGTAGCCGCCCGGTGAAGAAAAGCCAGTCGAACGAGACGGAATATGTTAAAGAGCAGTTGTTAGAACGGATTTACGTTTTGCATTTGAAGGCACAGGGAGAAAAGTTCCCAATATTACACACTCGAGATAATCACTTTATTTGATGCTTAAATGCAAAACGTTTTTTCAATATTTTTGACTCAGTTGTTGTTCAACTAAGTTTTTTTGAAATATATTATAATAAATGGGAAAAACTAAACACATTATTTTTTTAGTCGGATAATTTTATTGTATTAAAAATGGATCTGGTTTCTTTATTTATTCCGATAAAAACTGCACGTCTCTGTTTTTTTCGGTGCAGAAGGGGTTTAAGAAGGGTGGGCCAGGGGGCAGACACATTCACACATTGGTATTTGGCCAAAAAAGCATTTCGATGCGGCGATTTTGTTCTGGCTCCTCTTTTTTCCTTATTTTGAAATTCAAATTCCAATAAATTTTCCAACGATTTGGCACACAAAGCAATCCAAAGCTGAAAAAAGGGGGGCTTAAGTGTGGGAATGCGTGGGGGTTGTTAGTGCTGAATCCTTTGCCGGATTTGCATGGCCAAAAGAGCTGCGGACATGGCTCGAAGTGGAGAGTTGGGAGGGGGATCCGCTTAAATATGCAACAATTTGTAGCAGACAAAGATGTTTGCCAAAGTGGCGGGGGAGGGGAACAGCAGCAGCCAAGTCCTTTGATTATAAATTAATGTCCTGTTTACCAGGGACCACCCAAACCAAATGCCAGAAAATGCCTCTAATTCGTTTACGATTTCGAGGGGGTCAACAAATGCAGCAATCTGTGCTGCAATTGGATGTCGTTAGTGAGGGCAATCAACTGGTAAATTAAAACAATTGCTTTTGGGGGACTTAAAGCTTCTATGAACGAGTTAGTAAAGTACAAAAAGCGTTATCCTTCATTTTAAGCTAGACCTTAAGTATTGCGTGTTTTAACTACTCCCTAACATGGCTATTTTTCTCTACTACTCTCACACATGTCTTGCACTCTCATAAATCCAAAAAAAATATATACTATGTATCATAAACAAATCTATAGCGGACATTATACAGGATGTTACGCTCTAACGGAGCGCGCAGGCTGAAGTAAGTTAAAGTCAGACAAAAAATCTAAATTCCATTACTGTGATGATGCTGAATTTTTGAGTTGCCTGGACTTCATTTTGCCTATGATTTTCCCAGCCTATGCACTGAGAGCCCATAAAAAAAAAAAGAGAAACACTGTTTGATTAGCATTTTGTTTTTAATTGTTTGAGCATGACTTGGCCGCTTTTCCGCCCATTTTGGTAAACTAATTTAAACAATTTCCCCGCTTTCTCTTCCGCACACAGATTCACCATATCACGACGTAAGCGGCCTGCCCAATCCCTACAACATGGAGCACTTGGAACAGGACGAGGTCCTTCCCCCGCATCAGCACATGTCCTTGAGCTACGACGACAGCTTCGAGGGCGAGTATTCGACAACGCCGAATGCCAGAAATCGTCGCGTCATACGCGAGATTATTGTCTAGGAAAAATATAGTTCGAGAATCGGTAAATCGGAAAATCAGCACCCAAAATATTCTCCACATACACACACCCACACACACGCTAAATTCCATGATCATCCATTTTTACATTATCATTTTCAACTGCCAGCAGCAGATCTTTTGAAAAGTGGCCATTTTGAATACTTTTTTTAATATATTACTTCGATGTAAGCTTAGTTTTTGAGGGATACGACGAACGTGTGTTGAGTTTTATTGGCAACGAAACATATACCATATACCATATACCCTAGGATTAGAGTTCCGATCTATCATTGCTCTAGTTCAGCACTTTGTTGAAACAACACGACAACACTGAGAGAAATACCCACACACACGGATTAAAACCATCACTGGACAAGCACTAAATGTTACGATTTACCAGGTAGCATAAGGCTAAGTAGTAGTTAATATTAATGGTCATCTAGGTCCCAGTTGCAACAAACGAACTCTAAACTATAAGGCGGAATTTCGGAGGGCAGGCGATCGAAAAATCGATAACAAAATCTCACTTTTCACCTAGGCTTAGGCTAATTAACTCGTAAGTGATTCTTGTTGGTTCTGTGCGAAATTCGCGAGCACAGATCCACGAAAAGTAAAAAGTATATACATAAACAGTACGACCTGCCACAAAAAACAAGAAAAATATATAAAAAAAAATCGAAACAAAAGGAAACAAAACTTACCTTAAATTAATTTTAAATTTTTAAATAACTCTGAGAAAAACGAGAAACGTTGCTTTAAGTAAGTTATATGATACAAAAATAAAACTAAAATACAGAGAACTTTAACAAATTATTGAAAATAATTGAAAAAGATTAAGATAAACGTAAAATACAAAAAAAATAGGACTCAACTCTCCATTCTGAAAACTTTAATTTAATTTACAAAATTTACCAACTAACGAAACTATATGTTTTCCATTTGTTCAAGCTTTGTGTTGAAATTCAAAATTTTAATTGTAGTTATCGTTAAGCCAACTAGAAAACGATCGATTAAGTTATGTTAACCACGCAGACCTATTGAGTTAAATATAAATGTTTTGTTTGTGTGCATTACGTTGTGTTTTTAACCCCTTATCATGTGTTTTTGCAACTTTTTGACAATGGCACAGACACAACTCGAGAAGTTCGAGAGGAAAACATTTTTGTAGCTAAGGTTTAAATGTAAATACATGTGTAATTGTATATATTTACTTGACTTGCAAAGTAAATAAGCAGCAGCGGCAACTTAAATTAAATTGTAGTTAATTTTAAACAATTTCGAAATGAATTTAATTAGTAAGCAAGTGTTTAAGAGCAAATGCCACAAAATAAAGCGGATAAAACGAATTAAGAAACCTTAAGCAAACAAGCAAATCTCGTCGAATGAACAAAAAATATATAAGCAAGGCGGGAAAAAACGAGAAACTTTATTATATAAATTATACAATCTAAAACCAGATAAGCGGATATACATTATATATATATACATATACACGTACATATACATCTACTTATTATTTGTAAATAAGTAAAGCATAATTTCTCATTTGACAACCCCAGGCGAACCGGAACCCATTAAAAATATATTTCCAAACACTACAAAAAGCGGAACAAAAATCAAAGCAGATTTTTTATTTAGCAAAAGTATTTATACAAATATATATATATTTTGCAATTTGACTGACAGCAGTGGCAGTGGCACACAAAAACACGAGCGATAAAAACATGAACGAAAAAGTAGAGACAGAATCTGAGGCCCTCGGGCTGTTCAAACAATAAAACACTTTGTTAACTATTTTGTATGCATTTCTGATTTCATTCAATTCAACAAATTGCCACCCCACAAAACGAAAAGAAAACATTAGCTAAAATATTTATGCATACACACAAACAACACTCATGCAGTCACACACATAAAACAAAACATATAATATTTTTTTATTCAGTTTTAAAACGAAAGGTAAAAATAAAGCGAAACATCAAAAAACGAAGAATTTAAATTAAATGCCCCGTGTTTTGATTGGCAGTGGTTTCGACATTTTCATCCACAGAGATTTTAATTTCAATGGCAAAGAGATAGGAATGACATTGGGTCATTTGAAATTTAATAGCTTCTGACGTAAGTATAATTTCAATTGGATGACCTGCGTTTTGATTTGCTTCAGATGCAGAGATATTGCCATGCCAAATAAATAGTTGTTGAAGTTGAAAGAAAAATCAAAGGGGCTTGGAAATCTGTCAAGAAGGTGAACAAAATTATGCTATGAAATTATTTGAAATTGAAAGTCCAATGGATTTTAAGGAACCTTCATAAATGATGTCGAAACTCTGGTTTCAAAGCAGGTACTTTAACGTAAGTATATGGTTTTCCACAGACTTAAAGACCCAGGGCGTGAAGCGGGAAAACTCCTCCGAAATAGGGGCTGTGGGCGTGGCGGCAGACATCAGCATTAATAACAAAGAAGCAGCAGCAGCTGCAGGCGTTGCATAATGTGCCATGTTTAAGTTGATTGGCACCAAATTTATAGCATGCAATTTGACTTAAGTGGCAGTGCAGCACTCCGGCACTCTGGCAACCCTGGCGGGCAATCCTGGCGCCGGAAGTAACACGACACTGACATTTTAATTTAGTGCCAAGCGCAGGACCTCTGGCTCCCCACCTCCTCCTCCGCCCCTCGATTTCCCCTTCCTGTTCGTGTCACTTTTGCAGTTTTGCGTAAGAAACGAAAGTCAGCCACTTCGAATACCGCTGACAGCTGGGAAAGGCGGGAAAGGTGGGGGCGAATTCCAGCCATCAACTCGAAATCAAATGGAAGCGATTAACAAGCAGATAAGTGTGCGAAAAATGAAGTTTATTTATGGGATTGCGGATATTAAAACCAAATTGACAGATGCAAATATCAAGTGATAGTAAAACAAGGAAATTGTATGCTTTCTGTGAATTTTTTCAACACTGTCTTTAATATTTTGGAACTTTTCCTTATTTAATTTTCTGACATTTGTCGAAAGAATGTGATAGGAAATTGTATAATTTAAAGAATAAAGAAAAAGCGTATATATGTATAAATATATATTTAAAAAAGAATACTTTAATAATCAATTTATTTGTACATATCTCTGAAAGCTTGCAGTTATTTCTTTAAATAAGTAAGTCGTTTTCTTGCAGTGCGTAGTATCATTTGAAAGGGAACGCAAACTAATTTCTAACCGTTTCTCGCCTGGCTCCAGCTGCAATTCGTAAATGTGGGCCACAGAACAAGAACAGGAGCTTCCAGTCGTCCTATATACACCTCTATATAGCCCACAAAGAGCCAGGGAACCACCAAACCACTCCGAACTGAACTGAAACGAACCGCAGTCATTTATTCATTCATATCTCGGTGGCGAAAACAAAAGCGGCATATGGAAATTCATTTACTCCGCTCGGCTCCATCCTTAACCCCTGAACGGCCCAGCTCGGCCCGGCCCCCTTAACCCGCCCGTGACCAAGGGTGGCTCATCCAGCACGTAGGCGGCAACCGCCGTCAATTAAAGCGCTGCCGGTGGCGCCTAATTGGATTTATGCCACATTTATGTGTGTAGGTGCAAATTCGCGGAATCGCTGCAAATTGCGGGGCTGTCGGAAAGTCGTGCTAAAAATCAGCAGGATAATGAGCGACCAACTGCTGCCATTAGGCGCGGGAAAACACTAAAACACTGAGAACCACAAACTTAGTGCCGTGCCTCAACAATTGCAACTTTCGAGGACTTTAAATGAAATTACGCGAAAACTTTCGGACTGCAGTCAGAAATGGCAACTTTTTCAAGAGATGGTCGGGCGGCACACAAACTAAATCCCACGATTTTAGCCGATGGCACGCCCGCGATCATAATGAGTTCCATAAATTACCGCAAATTAAAGACCCGATGAGTAGGCATCCTTGTACATAAGTGGATGCCACCTGGATTCCATCGAACCACCGAACCGGGGTGTCGAAGAGGAAGCTATTATTTTCAGGGAGTATCCGAAATGGCACCTTATAACACATGTGGTTCGGTGATAGATGGTCTTTTGTATCTTTCAAAATTGTTATAAATAATTTAATTTTCTGTGCTAACAATTATATTTTATTATTTGACCCCTTAAAACATTATATGTGTGTTAAGGTAGATCTTTAAATTATTGAGATATTCACAGCTCATTTAAATCCAATCTCAAAACAATGGATTTTGTGAGACTTAAGGGTTGGGAATAGCTGTCAATTGTTGCTCTATTTATTTCTTAACGGATTGTTTCCAAAGATGGGTGTTCAGGGTAACAAGACCTTTTTCAAAAAAATAAGCTGTAACTACTTTTTATATGGAAAGTTTTATATTGGGTGAACATTTTTGTTATATGACTCTTAAATTTCGATATCCTAACTGCAACAGCTTTGAATTATTGTAAAAGTCCAGTCAGTCATAAGTTTAAGCTCCTTAATATTCTCCTTTTTAACTAGCATCTTTGATTTTTGCTGGGTACTTGGAAGGGGGAATACCCCAAACTCCCATCGCTCATTCTGTTTGTGTGTTCTGCGGTCATTGGTTTGTAATTAATGCGACCAGAAGCTGACCAAAGAGCGACTTGGCACGCCTGCGGCTCCCTAATGTTGCACGGGGCCAAAGTGCCGGGGTCGGAGGTAAATCTCCGGAGTGCCCCTCCTGTCTGCGGTCGTCCCTCGCGGATGAGGAGGCCAGCGGGGGCGCGGACACCTCCGCGGCCTTGTTGAGTGCTTTTGTGTTTAATTTTATTAATTATCGACGTAATCTTTGAAGTTTGTGGCCCCCAAACTCCCGGGAAACTTCAACTTTCGGAGCCCCACATCCCTCAAAGCAAGGCGCCTCCATTAATCGCGTTAACTCGAACGTGTGTGTCAGTAGTCTCTGGCGCGAAATTCGCCCACACAATTTTGGAAGCTGCAGAAGTTCCAACAAAACACAATTAGGTTTTGGCATATGCGAGGGAAAGGAGCAGCTGATGAGGAAGTTAAGTTCCGGTTCTACTTAATCTAATATTTCATTCATTTATTTAATAATTCTATAAGGAAGCAGCTTATTTGTGGTCCTTCATGCATTTTTTGAATGTATAATAATTGCCTCGGCGAGTGATCCTGATCAAGAGCATATATACCTTAAGGATTTGGAAACGCTTCCTTCTGCCTGTAACATACTTTCTAGTATACCCTTTTACAACGGGTATAAGTACTTTCTATTTTGTTTTAAAAATTTTCGATGTTAAGCTCTGAATTTATTTTGTATTGAAAGTGATAATTTTGTATTTAGTTAAAATATTTAATAAGAAATCTGGAATTCAGTATTCAGATATATATTTTCAGCATTCCATTTTTAATCAGTGTAATCAAATAAATAATATGTTATGAAAAAAAAGGTTTTACCCTCTGCTAAGTTAAACATTCTGAGAATATTATATTTACTAACAAAGTTCCTGGAAACACCCAACAATGTTGTTGAGTCAAAATATCTGTTCTTCAAAAATTAGGTGATTACATTCATGGACGTTAATGGCCTTGACAACCAAATTTTTTGAGTTCTAAATAAAAGCTTATTGAATCATACGGCCATTAAATAAATATGCGGTATTAGAAAGATTCTTGTCAAGTCAGATGCCAAAGAAAATGATAATACAGATCCAAGGCCTAATTTAAAATTACCTTGAGAACGCAACACATTTTGTAAACCAGCCGAAAATAGCTAGCTTTCTATTACATCGTTATCAAGAAATATCCCAATTCGATTTGATTATCTGCGTTGGCATGACAGGGAATAGGCATTCCCAGAACTTTAAACCTTTCGAAAACGAAAGCCCCTTGGACCCATTGCCTTATCAGCTAACCTTCCCCGGCAACAGCTGCTCATTTGCTGCTAATCCTGGACCTCCGAAAGGGATTGCCACCATACCATCCGCACCACCTTCGTTGCCAGGCAACTAGACGGCCAGTGGTGGTCGGTGGTTGGGCTACGTAATTCGAGCGCAAATATTGAAGTTTGAAAACCACCGGTAACAGTGGCTGCAGCCGCAAATAAAAGAATAATAATAATAATGAGCAAATATTTAAGCAGCCGGGAACTTATCAGAAAAACAGCTACACGGGAAACAATTTTTGGACTTTAAAATAAATTTAATTCTATGCTCCAAAAATATTATATAAATACAGAATTATTTTCTTTTTGTATTCCGGCACTGAAAAAAAATTTCGTATGAACTTACAATTATTCTTCGCCATTATTCTGTGTGTTTCATTCAAAAATATTAACCCAGAAACAAATTTGAAAATAGAAAGTATGCATAAATATAAATACTATTGAATAACAAAAATGTATAAGTTCAAAAAATAAAATCTGAGTGTTATTTTTTAGAGTTTTCTCTATGGGACCAGGTCGTTTCCTTCGCTAAGAAGAGTCTCATGGCTAGAAACCTCCCCTAGAGTTTACCACCCTGAACTCTCCCGTTTCGCTGATTGTAATTATGAATGAAATTTGAATTGCTGGAGGACTCGGGGCATCGGAGAACGGGAATTTGCTACACTTTCCGTTGCATTTCGCTGGACACGTGGCAGTTCCTGATCCCCGGTCACGTGTCCCTGGCCACCACCCCCTTTCGGCCAACTCCGCGCTCATCGGAAGTGCCAATAAGTAGTTGTCAATATTGACTGATTATCTCGACACGGCGAAAGTGGGGGAGATTTAGAGGGGGAGATGCGGAGAAAGCCGTCGCCCGTCGTGATTGCGAGTTGTTTGAGACTTAAGCGGAAGTAA